ATTCATTAGTCACATATTTACTGTGGGAATAATATAGACCAGATGCTGTGGCATATATTTTATATCATATCAGCTTAAGAGGACCACAAAAATGGCATTATTCTCATTCAACCTGTTGGAAATTAAGGCTTAGAGAGTGTAGGTAATTTGACCAAAATCATTCAGCATGAAAATGATGGACAGATCCTTCAATCCCAGATTTACCTGATTTCAAAACCATGTTCCAACCACTATGCTATATTGCCTCCATTAGAGCATAATTTGATGAAAAAGAGACATGTGAATATGTTCTCCTCATTAAAGAGAAAAAGATGGGACCTGTAATTTTCACCAAAGCCTTTGGATGGATGTATTGCCTCAGTCCTTAGGCAGATGATCAGAAGTGAATAGAGAGACGAGGATACCAGCCACTGGATTTACAAAGATGACTGCTCATAATGTGAATTTCCCAAGACTCCAGGACACAAGCAGATCAGACTCTGGTCAATGTTTTTGATGGACCACCTAATTTCTATCAATAAGGCAAAGGTTAAGGCAACTATGGTACACATCCATTGGAAGTAATATGACATAGCCAATAAAATGAGTTCATCAAAAGCTCATGATATAATAGTTGAAATAACATAATAGAAAATTACATATATGTATCTTTAAAATTATTTGCAAAATTACAGATTATTATTCTTATTATATTTAATGCTTGAAAGTTTTGCTCATAGCTTGGATGCAGGCCAGATATTCACCAAAACTATGAAAGAGATAACATTTTCCTAGACAGGAAAGTACAAACCCCATGGAATTATAATTATTGTGTCTACATAAGTTATTCAAGATGACACAACAAAATTGTATAAATTGCCTGCCACAAATCTGCAAGATTTTGTAACAGATCATTTACACACACACATGCACACACGTATTGTTGAATGAAGTCTATAAATACTGTCCTTACCTAACTTGGGTGTGAAAAATTCAAATACTGTCATCTCTGGGGCACAAACTAATTTTTCATTTTCTCTCCAAAAGACTGAGAGCTGGGACAAAGAAAAAAGTCACAAGCTCAACCCTGAAATGAGAATGCGGTACATGCTCTCTTTTTCACGAGATCCTGACAATGACAAAGGTATCCACTTTTTATGAGCCAGTCTGGGAACTCAGGGGACCTAGGCCACAAATTGTTGGTGAGGGGCAATATGGGAGTATTATTGCATTTTCTGTACCCATTCCCAGGGGAGATGTGCCTTTGCTGGATACTAAAGATAGTCAACTCGTTGAGGAATATAAATAAGGACCTTTATTATTTGAAGATTCCTTTATTTTTACAAAATTTTCACATCTATGAGTTCATCTAATCCTCACAATAATTCTTGAGGAAAAGCATTTTTATTTTTATTGTTTTTGAGTGGCTCAAAAGAAATTGGCAAAAAATGAAGATTCAAATCCAAACACATTAACTTCAAACTGAAAGTCTAATTCCATTGCACTGTGATCCCTCCCTTGTAATAGTGGGCTCTGGATCATATGGGCTTCTTCCTTCCCGTATTCAATCCAGAACTGGAGAGGAGAGTTTCCACCAGTCCCTAGGGAATAAAAACACTTGTCAAGGAATTTTCCTTCCTATAGCAGCTGTCTAATAATTGCCCCACAGTAAAGCATCACTACTGAGAGATGAGATCCACAAGTGGACAAGGCTCTGCAGATGCCCTTGGGTAGAGGGAACCCGGAGGATGATGGCCCCAATACGACCATAAGAAACCAGGATGCCTAAGAATGGAAGCACAATGGTTGTTAATCCCACAGTAAAGATTATCAATTGGTTGAGGGAAGTGTCTGAGCAGGACAACTTGAGTAGGGCATCAAGGTCACAGAAGAAGTGGAGGACAGTGTAGTCAGCACAGACAGACAGCTGGGCCAAAACATGAATGCATGTATTGATTTTTTTGTCAGTTATGACACATACTCAGGGCTCAAGATATATTATTTAACCACATTGGCACATACTCAGGGCTCAAGATATATTATTTAACCACAAGAATGAGTGTGAGAAGTCTTTGGAAATTTGTTTCATTCAGATTGGCAAATATAGAGAAGAGAGAAATGTTTAACTGGAGGCATTTTATTCATTATTTTTCCCAATAATTCATTCATTTATTTACTAATTCATAAAAATATTGTGTGTCAACTATGTGGCAAGGATTTTGTGAGTAGGAGGAGTAAACATTTGAAAACACAGATTTTTTTTTCTTTCAGAAAAGCTCCTAGTGTAGTGAGCAAAATAGACAAGACAATGTGTGTCTCAAACGCTGTAATGAAGGTGGGTGCTGTGTGCTATGGAAGCACAAAGGAAGAGTATCAAACTCAAATTTAAGGGGTCAGGTAAGAGTCTTGTAGGAAGTTACATGTAAGCAGATTCAAGAAAATCAAGACAAGTAAAATGTGACATGAACAGCATAAAAGCAGATATTTGGAAGGGATAAAAAGAGAGAAATAGGAAAAGACCTGGAGAGTAGATAGAATGACAAATTTGGGAAACTGTTATTAGAAAAATTAGAATATCTGAAATGTACACTTCAACAACGGAAGAGGTTTGAGATGAGGCCAGAGAAATTAGTAGAAATGAATCATGCAGTACTGTGGAAGCCATGCTGAACAATTTGCACTTTATCAAAAAGGAAAAGAAGAGCCATAGAAGAATTTGATCAGAATATTGACAGTGTCATATTAAAAACTGTCACTATAGATGAAGAATGGATAATTACATTGTGTTTAAAGTGGGTGGAGGAAATGTCAGCAGAACAGGAATAGAGTGGTTGGATGCAAGAGTGGAAGCAAAGTGACTAGTTAGGAAGTGGTAGCAGCCATCTGGGTAAGAGATTATGGAAGTATGTCTAACAGAGATAATGGAGTTGGAGAGAACTAATTGAATTTAAGTCTCCTTTAGAGTTAAAATCTAAGGGATGTGGTAATTTTAATGTGAGTTGATTTTGATAGACTGTAGAAAGTGAGGAAACAAAGGAGTTAAAAACTTATCTATATGTATGGTTTGTACAGCTGGGTGTATGTTTGTGCTATTCACTGAGATAAGGGACATAGAAGTAGAAACAGATTTGAGTTTTTAACACACTGTGTATGAAGTACCCATGGGTCATCCTTGGAAAAAAAATTCAGGAGACAGGTGAATATATCTTGCATACAGATAGAAACTCACGGGTTGTTCACAAAGAAGAGGATAAGATTGCCTAAAAGAAATAAGCTGAATAAGAAAAGTTGAAAAAAGAGAAGAAGAATAGAGAGACAAGAAAGAGGAGAGGAGAGAAAGAAAAGCAAGGGAAGGGAATGGAATATGGCTGACTCTTTCTTCAGGCCTTACTAAGGATAAACAGGATCACAAATGCTTCTGACACTCAGCACCATGTACATGTAATTGCAAGGGAAAAGTATTTGGGAAACACAGATCTCAATTGCAAGCTCTGCCAAAATGTGTGGACCCAGGCTATTCACTTAATTCCTCTCAGCCTCAATTTCTTCTTCTGTGTAAATGGAAAAATCGTAAAACATCTAACATATTTTTGATTTGAAATAAATGAAATACTAATTTTGGCCTAGGATTACAACTAACTGAGAATAATGAGTATTAGCTTTCCACACCTATGCATCAGAGATTAATTTTGATGCAGAATTTACACAGATAACTCTGAATTATGGTGACGATGTTAGCATGGCATCTAGATCATATTCCCAATTCAAGACAATCAGGTTCCTAGGATACAGCAACGCATCTTCTCTGGCTTGAGCTAGAACCAAATCACTAAGGAGCAGTGGATGAGTGAGTTGGTGGGTGGGTAAATGAGAAAGGATCAATCAGAAGAATATCTTACTCTCTATTTGTTTAATATTCTCTCAATGAGTGACCCTTAACTTGGAGCTGAAGAAGCTGCCATTTATCATCCCAGCTTTTTTTGTGTAAAGACAAAGAAGGCCCCCTACCCTTACCCTGTCCAATTAAGTTGCAAGCATGGAGCCATTTTGTCTGCAGGCTCGGTCTCAATCAGTTCCAGAGCCAAAATCCGAACAGGTTTTGAGTCTTTCTCATTGTTCTAAATAAAGTACATCTTCGTTGGCCCAGATTGGCATCTGAGTTAACAACTGTTGCCAATTTCTTTTTTTTTCTGCTTTTCTTCTTTTTTTTCTGCTTTTTCTCCCCAAATTCCCCAAGCACATTGTTGTATATTTTAGTTATGAGTCCTCCTAGTTGTGGCATTTGGGATGCCGCCTCAGCATTCCCTGATGAGTGGTGCCATGTCTGCACCCAGGATCCAAACCAGCAAAACCCTGGGCCACCGAAGCAGAGCACGTGAACTTAACCACTTGGCAACAAGGCCGGCCCCCCAAGAAAGATTTTTAAAGAAGAAGCTATAAATGAAATCAAGAGAGAACTTAAGTACTCATAAAATTTACTTTATTTCTCACTAAGGATAAAAAGTAAGAATTAATACCAGAAAAATAGCGAGCCTTTCTTTATCTTATAGATTCTGTAATTCAATAGCCTTTTAGCAAGTTACCTACTCTATCTCAGGCAGTGCCTAGACCTGGTCGTACAGATCTGGCTAAAGACAAGACATCCATGCTAAAGAAGTGAACATTCTATTAGTATGGAGACAGGCAAACTAAAAATATGTGAGAGTATAAAAATGCTTTAATATAATAATACCACTAAGTGTGCTTATTATCATGATTACTCTATGTCAGGCACTGCATTAAAAGCTTTACCTGTATTATGTCTTTTAATCCTCATAAAAATCATATGAAGTATATACTGTTATTATACACATTTTTAAGTTGAGAAAACTGAGGCTTAGAGACAATGACATAAGTATAATAAATGGTAGTAGCACAAGGGAGGATATAGTTAATGCTGCCTGGATATCAGCAGAAGTTTTACAGGGCTCTGAAGCTGAGTGTTGAAGAATTCTCAGAATTATGACACATAATGGGAGAAACAGCAGTCTAGGCAGGTCTAGGCAGAGGGAACAGAATGAACCAGAACATTGAAATAGCATGGTAAGTACAGGGAAATGTAAAAGAGAGTGGTGTCACTAAAGCATATGTATGTATGAGTTGAGGAAGCATCAAGAAGTAAGTCTAAATAGGCAGACAAAGACTATACTGTGAAGGGGCTAGGGTACACTCTTAAGGAGTTTAGATGTTGCAAGTGAGGGGGTACCATCAGCTGGGGGTGGGGTGCAGTAGGAACTAGGCCTGGGGAAAGTTATTTTTGTGTTTAAGAAAGATTACTCAAGTGACCACATATGCGTAATGGGTTGGAGAGCCTGGAGACGGGCTCAATTAGAAAGTCATTGAACGTCCAAGTAAAAGATAATGTGTGCCTGAAAGAAGACAATGGCAAAAGGATAGAGAAGAGAATAGCTCTGAAGGTGGACTAGAGAGATCTTGGTAACTGATGAGTAATTGATAGGAAGTAGAAAGGTATTGGTAATTGATGGAAAGTAGGTGGGAGAATGAAAGATTGTTCTTGATTTCTGGCTCTGTGAACTGATATTTAGAACAATATGGAAAACTAGGCACTTTGAATAAATTTGATAGGTTTGACAGTCTTAAGGAAGTAAGGAAACAAGTTTCTGACAACCTGATTTTTAAAAAATGGTTCCGGGGCCAGCCCAGTGGTGCAGCAATTAAGTGCACATGTTCTGTTTCGGCAGCCTGGGGTTCCCCGGTTCGGATCCCTGGTGCAGACATGGCACCGCTTGGCATGCCATCCTGTGGTAGGCATCCCACGTATAAAGTAGAGGAAGATGGGCATGAATGTTAGCTCAGGGCCAGTCTTCCTCAGAAAAAAGAGGAGGATTGGCAGCAGTTAGCTCAGGGCTAATTTTCCTAAAAACAAAAAAAAAATGGTTCCAAGCAAGAGGAAGGCAAATTCCCTAAATAGACAAGGGGCACCAGGAAGCTCTTCATCACCCCCCTGCACTGATTCTAATTATAAATACATTGTACTCACATACAGTACAGAAATGCAGAGATTTATAAATAATTTGTACTTCAGTGTGAATTATTTTAATGCCAACATCATAAAAGCCTTAGCTGAAATGGGTAACCTTCAAGGAACAGAAGTTTGAACTTACAGATTGGCGGTGGGTTTAATAGGATGAATTAAGGGAGGAACAAATTAGGAACTTTGAATACAGTGATAACTATTTTGGCTGGATGGAATCTAAGAATGTTAGACTAGTGAACAGTGATGGACAACAGTGTACTTTGGTGGATCTTTGTACACCCTGTGCTGACCTAATTCCCAAATGCCGCAGAAAAATATTGTTACTATACGTATTTGGGGAATATTGGGAAAACAAAAATGGACACCCACTCTCATCTCCTAGTCTGCTTGGACCTGTGAGAAAGAATTTAAATACAGTCCCAGACAGGGTTCAATCATGTACTGTACTGCTGATGTATTCAGATTCCCTTTGGGTCAGAATCTAGAAGCAAACTGGAAGGCCATCTAGAGAAAGCACCACATAGAGAAACCATCAAGTAAGGCTGATTGGGCCAGGTTGAGTGTCAACTTCAAGATATCAGAGGGGACAAGGATTGCAGGTATGGTACGAGACTGTATCCAGTAATCTCACATCTCAGCCTTCCTCATGTCCATGAACTGCATCATCAGGGGCCTTAAAACTCTGCCCAGGGACCCTCTCCTGAAAGAGTTGATCAGGAGAAGTACAAGATATTTCCTTGCCAGTTCAAAGGACTAAAGCAAGCCAGAGGTTAGTGGCTCAGAGGAGACTGTCAGTGGTCCATCATCTGTAGAACAGTAGATAGTGGAATGAAAGGAGAGTTTCAGACTAAGGAGATGAGAGAAGAGGACTCCAGGGATGCAACTAGCTCCTGACCTGATTGTATGAGAACACTCTCCTCACTCTATTAAAGGACTCCTAGAGAGAATATCTGGAAAGGAGATCTAGAGAGAAGACCAGAAGAAGTCCCACTCCACGTCATCAAAAACATAGATTCCTAAAGTACTAAGATGTGGCATGCTGCTCAAAATGATTCACATTTGTACTCAAAATGCTCAAGCCTGGGACAGTTTGATTCCATGAAAGATGTTCAATAATTATTTGTCAAAAAATATAGGAATGGTGAAACATTTTTAGATATTGAGTCTGAGAAACAACCTGCATTAGGGAGGCGGTTTTAGGCAGCCAGTGGACACTTGTTCATACTAGAAGGATGTGAGGAATCAAAAAGTATACGGCCCTTATTTTTTTAAGAATAATATTTTTTTATATTTATAAGAGTCTTGGAGGCAGAAAAAAACATATATACCTTTAAACATATTTTTTCTCTCTCAGCAAGTAATTTAAGCTGCTATTTCCCCTTTTAGATCTGAAGGCAAATAAGAAGAGAGTTGCAGTGTTCACACTTACTAGTCACACAAAGGATGTTGGCATTAAACATTTCTCACCAGCACAGGAAAAACGTGGCATGAGGAGCTCTAACATCTTTCCTGGTGAAATCTTTGCAAACCTTGGGAAATGGGGCAACGAGCATGGAAATATAAAGATTGAATTCCAATCTTCTGATGGGGAACTCTTGACCTATTCTTCACCTCCAGAGATGTAACCTCCATTCTTTATTTCTTTTTTATTAATCTCCATTTAGTGCTATGAAATGGACAGAAGCTCTCCAATTTTTATGACTGACTAATAGTCTAGAATGAAAATGTCATGAAAATGGGGACTTTGTGTTGTTCAGTGCTCTATCCCCAGAACTTATAACAGCTCCCAGCACACAGGAGGTGTCAGGTAAATATTTTCTGAAAGAATGAAACTCAGAGAAAAGATTTTTAGTCTTTTTTAATGGGAGAAGAGATGAAGAGTAACAACAGTAATAATAATAATAGCTATCATTCATTGGAAACCTACTATTACTGCCACGCACTGCTTAATGACAGAGATATGTCTGAGAAATTCATTACTGGGCAATTTTGTCCTTGTGTGAACATCATAAAGTGTCCTTACACAAACTTAGATGGTGTAGCCTACTACACACCTAGGCCACATGTTACTAATCTTATGGGACTACCGTCATATATGGGATCCACCATTGACCGAAACATCATTGTGTGGTGCACGACTATATTAGCCACTATACCAGATGCATTCCATAGTTTATCTCAATTAATCCTCTAAGTCACTTTGTTAGATAGAGATTATTATCTCCACTTTATAGATGAGAAGTCTAAGGCTCTAAGAGGTTAATTAACAGGACTACAACCTTATGGCTAGTATGTGGGAGACACACAACCATTGCCAAGCCTGTCTGACTGTAAGGCTATGTCTTTTCATTAAAAGTTGCTATCATTGTATCTAAGAGGAAAAAATTTTCCTGCGACTGAGGAGCCTCTTAATGGCCCCCTTCATGTCCTTGTTCCTTAGGCTATAGATAAATGGATTCAACATGGGGGTCACCACTGCGTACATGGCAGCTGCAACAATGTCCTTCTTTTCAGAGGCAAGAGAGGGAGGGCACAGATAGGCACTGAAGAGGGTCCCATAGAACACACAGACAACACAGAGATGGGAACTGCAAGTGGAAAAAGCCTTGCCTCCCCCACCAGGGGTTCGGACCCTCAGAATGGCTGATACAATGTGGATGTAGGAGATGACAATGCATATAAAGGGAATGATGAGTACTGTGCCTCCTAATGCAAAAAGCATCAACTCGTTGATGTGAGTGTCAGAACATGACAGCCTCAGGACAGGAGTTATGTCACAGGAAAAATGAGTGATTTCCCCAACAACACAGAAGGACAGCCGAGCCATGAGGAGGGTGTGAGTCAGGGCAACAGTGTGAGTGAGGACCCAGCACAATGCCAGCAGCATGGCACAGACTCGGGGGCTCATGACTATGGAGTAGTGGAGAGGGTGGCAAATGGCCACATAGCGGTCATAGGCCATTACAGCTAGGAAGAAGCTGTCCAGGTAACCAAACATCAGAAAGAAATACATTTGCGTGAGGCAACCAGCATAGGAAATGGTATGCTGCTGAGTTTGTACATTTACAAGCATCTTGGTAACTGTAGAAGATGTTAAACCTATATCAACAAAAGATAGGTTGGCCAAAAAGAAATACATGGGCATGTGGAGATGCGGGTCAGAGCCAATGGCCAGAATGATGAGCACATTCCCAGTCAAGGTGACAAGATACATGCACAAGAAAATTCCATAGAATAACTGCTGTTGCTCTGGTGACTCAGATATTCCTCGGAGGAAAAATTCAGAGATGCTAGATTGGTTTTCCATGACACCGCAGGATCTGGAAGCTAAAAAGTTCAGTTAGAATCCTAGATTTCAAAGAAAATCTAACAACTGGGAGAAGATATTTGCGAATCATGTATGTATCCAAAATATGTAAAGAACTCACAACTCAACAACAACAGAAAATCAAACTACCCAGTTGAAAAATGGGCAGACGATTTGAACAGACATTTTTCCACAGAAGATATACAGATGGTCATCAGGCACATGAAAAGATGTTCAACATAATTAACTATGATAGAAATGCAATGAAAACTACAATGAGATGCCACCTCATGCCCATCACAATGGCTCTTATTAAAAAGACAAGAAATAGTAAGTGTTGAAGAGGATGTGGAGAAAAGGGAATCCTCATTCACTGCTGGTAGGAATGTAAAGTGGTGCAGACACTTGGAAAACAGTATGGAGATTCCTCAAAAAATTAAGAATAGAAATACCATATGATCCAGCTAGTCTACTTGCAGGTATTTATCCAAAGAACACAAGAACACTAATTTTAAATGATAAATGCACCCCTTTGTCCACTGCAGCATTATTCACAATAGCCAAGGATTGGAAACAACCTAAGTGCCCATCAACAGATGAATGGATAAAGAAGATGTGGTATTTATATATGATTGAATGCTACTCATCCATAAAAATGATGAAATCGTGCCACTTGCAACAACATGGATGGACTTTGAGGGCATTAAGCTAAGCAAAATAAGTCAGACAGAGAAAGCC